TACTTGTTCCACCAATTATGCAGATGATAACCCAGAACACCACCATGATGGTCAGGATCTTTATCGTAACCAAAAGCCTGGAGGGAGCCCCCTCACGCGTCTCTGTCAAGTGGTGGTGGCATCCTTCAGAAAATATCGAGTGGAAGTACCAGTTGACAAGTCTCTCCTGTATGAGACTGCAGACGCCGAGTCTGTAATCAAAGGAAGCCGCAAGCTTGATCATACCCATGATTTGAGTTTCTTTGACAAAGCTGGGCTGCTTCCTGTATGGGCCACCGGAATCGTCTTTTCCACTGTGTACAACCAGATGGGTACCTTGTTTGTTTTACAAGGCTATACTATGGACCCTCACGTTGGAAAATCTAGCTTCAAAATTCCAGCAGCCTCTCTCTCTATCTTCGTCACCCTCAGCGTCCTATTCTGGGTTCCTGTATACGACCGCATCATTGTTCCAGTGGCAAGGAGATTCACGGGTCACAAAAGCGGTTTGACCCAACTGCAAAGAATGGGGATCGGCCTCTTCATATCCATCTTCATATTTCCTCGAATCAGCCACATTTGTCCCACTGGGCGTGCCAATTTGTTTCTCCGTAATTTAATCCGTAAGGAAACAAACACCGAAAATGGATCTTCGGCTTTTAATTGAAGGACGGGTTCTGTGGTGATTTGACAGGAAATATCCAAGCGATCATAAAAATCAACGTGGAATTGTATAAACCTAAACCAAACTGGAGTTTGACTCGACGGAAAAGTTTAGGAAGTACTATCGAAACAAACTTCGACGGAATTTGACTCGAGGACGAAGCTTGAAAGAGCGGCGGTACTACGCTGGGATTTGACTCGACGACGAAGCACCAAGAATGAAGATTCATATCGGAGGACGACTCGGCGACGTGAATCTGAGGATTAGAACTACTCCTAAAGAATTAAAGCTTGTAAATTGCAGGAAAATAATGGCCTTGGCCAAACGTAAAGGTACGAGTGCAGGAAATGTAAAGATAAAAGAAAGACAAACTGATAAAGAACGTGAGTTCTGTTGTTGATTTTTTGGGGGGGCCTTTAAAATACAAACTTGGGATATTTATAATCCCGTACAAGCATTTACAAACTTTAAATTTTAAATAAAAAGTAACTTCCTAACGGTGGTTATTATCTTCCTATTTTCTAGGCACTCTCCACGTTCAAATAACCACCCTTATCCATAAGCAGTTTTGTTATTGACATCTAACTATCGGTAAGTTGCTGATGCCGATTCTCAACTCACCCACTATCGGTAAGTTGCGAACTATCGGTAAGTTACCGACGCCGAAGCTCCCGATGCCTATTTCCATGATTACCGACGCCAAAGCTCCCGATGCCTATTTCCATGATTTTTTACCACTTTTTGGTGTAAACAGGAGGCAACTTTTTCTAGCAGCTAGAAGCAGTTTCATAATTAATCAAATAGTAAACCTATTTCAAGCAAATACTGCCCAAGACTCACAAGCAAGAGGGTAATACTTACAACCAAACCAACACATCCCGCGCACAAGCAAATCAATATACCATTGAAATTTCTCATGATTGCAACGCCCCCTCTCTTAAGGTACACATAATGCAACATTTTCAAACTAAACGAGAAATATCCCCAAAACTCGATGTGACACTACCATACAGACATCGCAAAGAACAGATTAGAGAACATTTCAAGACCATTAGCATCAACTGAAGAAAATTTCCAACAGATTCACTAAGGGTAAAACTAAGTATAAGAGGTGAATACGGAGAACTCAGTATTACTGACAGATGCAACTCACAACCCAGACAACTTTCCTTGAAAATTGAAGTACTTGAGAAACTAGACCTTCCAAGCTAAAATAGAGATATATGTTTGAAAAGAGGATATATTTACACCTCGTCAATGATATATAGTATAATTTAATAGAATGACAGTACGTTTCTGTCCTTCTCAAACTAAGCGGGAACCACATTCAGTATAAAACCAATACCACACAATAAGCAACAAATTGTTGCAGAACAAGTTCGGAAAAAAATCTTAAAGAACCACTACGAGTTAGTGGATTTGAAAGATCTTTATAAAACGTGATGGGAGAAAGCAGGAGTCATTTACCCCTTTTGAGCCAGACTTGGACTTGCTGCTTCTGTGATTGAAACCGATGTCTTCTCCTTCGTCTTTTCGTGACAGTTCCAGTTGCGACTTCAAATATTGTTGGGAGATCATTAATCATGGTGAACAGGTTCTTCCTGCAACAAATAGTGTTTATGGATGGTAAACAAGCAATATGATGCAACAAACCAAGTTCTTTCGCGCAAGACTAAGAAATAAAAGAAGCTCAATATTGAAAGAGTGGTACTCTAACAGGTCTGGGGAGAAAGACATGCCTAACAACCTTGTCAAAACCCAATCTAGCACCAAATTAAAGGCCACAGCCAGTAACCATGCATCACAGTGCACAGCAACCAGAGATAACCAGTCCTTTTCTTGCATTCTATCCCTTGCAAAGTTAATGCCAAGTGCAGGCTCAGGTAGCTCTGGCGGCACTTCAGCAGCCCTATATTCATCGTCTTGAATTTGATTACAATATGTATATCATGGTGGATTCACCAGACTTAATACCGCCACATATCCAACATTAAGCAATATTACCACGTGGAAAATACAGTCAATGCTTCTAAGATGGCTAACTAAGAGAACAGACATGCAGTTGCCAAATGACTGCTCCAAGCACCGCTCCACAGTATTCTTCTGATGAGAATGCTCAAAAGCCTATGAGGCCAATGAAACATCGTGGCAACGTTATGTCACTGAGAAATGAGAATGATAGCAGCTCATTTAATGACTTCCAGGAAAAATTTAAGATATAATCTCTTCGATCGTCGAAAATGTACCCTTGCTACCAATGAAAATGATTCCGAATAAAACGGGTTTATAATTTTTTTTTTCGATAATTCAAGTAGGGGAAGAGTTATGCCACTTATGTGATTTTGCCATGTGGCGAGACCCATTTTGTTTCAATTTCTTTTGGGTTTTCGTGGGCCTTTTTTAACCTTTCTTTATTGGATATGTGCACTGAATATTCTAAAATTTGTTACGAAAGTGCAATTGAGTCAAGTCCTAAAACTGGTCAAATTGATGCAATCGAGTCATTCCATTTATTTCATCCAATTGGACTAACGAAAAATGCTAACGTGGTTTTTTTTTTTATATCGTTTTTTCTATCCTACGTGACTTTTATTTAGTAATTTCTTTTTTTCTTTTTTAAATTTTGTAAAAAATTACCTTTTTAATTTTTAATTTAATTTAACTAAGATTTTGATTAAAAGAGTTAGGATTTAGGCCAAAACAATGTCATTTTAATTTAATATTTAATGTTATAAAATGGTCAATGCCATGTAGGAAAGAGAAATTACTATAAAAAAAGTCACGTAGGAGAGAAAACAATAAAAAAAAATCACGTCAACATTTTCTGTTAATTAAATTAGACGGAATTCCCGGAAGGACTCTCCTGCGCTAATTCGACAAGTTTTAAGACTTGATTGCACTTTTTGTAAGTTTTAGGATTCAATTGTATTTTTTTGATAAGTTTTACGATGCAAAGTTATCCTTTATTTTTTTTAGAAGTTGTTCCTTTCAATGAATATCAATCCTCTTTGCACATCTCAGCAAAAGACCAAATAGCATCCACATTTGTGGGTTTTTCTATTTGCATACGCAATTTATGAGAAGGTGTTATCTCCCCAATCAATCCAAAACTCAGTCGTTATGGTCTTGCTATAACACGAAAGCCAAGCGCACGAACGTTCCTTTCTATTCGTTATGATAACTTCACACGCGATGATCGACTTAGATGAACGGAGACGTGCATCGTGTGCTGTGGTAGCGGCTAGAGATCGATCTTTTGTGTACGAAACCATCGTCCAACCAAATGCTGACAAGTTCAAGCAAAGCAAGCATAAGACTGGATTCTCTCCCTGCTAATCGTGGTCCATGATTGATCGCAGAAGCATACAATAAATCACATTCAAAGAGCCAATCCGAGGGAAAAATGCCGATGGCTGAGGGCTTTTGATCTTCAAGCAAACATTAGTTTAATGAATCCACCAAAGCATCCACACTATGCTTAATGCTGTCCGCTTTTGACCAATTTGTGAAGCAGCCTTTCCTTCGAATTTAAGTTAATTACCCCCAAAAAAAGTGATAATAAGGTACTTTGCTTTTCCGTTAATTTTAACATGTCTCTTGTCACAAGATTCGCCATGGTCCCGTGACGATTAATTTATTGACCCTAAAAGCCGAATTCGATCCGATGCCGTGATCCCGGATGATAGAACCCCTCTTGTCAACTTGAAGTGCATCCTCTGCCGCTGTCTCGGTGGAAACAAGAGTTCTCGAACGCACTTCGGGTGCATGATGTTTCCATAGTGTCACTCGATCCGCTTAGAAAGCTACTAGCTCGATAACGGAAGATATGAACGCTAACTTACTAGAACATGCTAAGAACATCGCCGAACCATTTCGTGTTTCATCAACACAAGTCAAAATTGTACACGAGATCCCTCGCATGTTTCCCCCCAAAACATTGCCTTGCACATGTACCATCACCACTATGTTTCTCCAACAACTCGAGGGCAATGAGTATCAACAGTGCCAAGGGCAATCTAGAGAAGGAAGTGGCACCATCGATTATTGTTGAGAGAATTGCTATCATCCAGTATTATCCCATATTTATCGACACGGAACTTAATACAGATTTCTTGCCAAGTTCAATGTTTTTCAGATATAACATATCCTGCACATATAATGTTCAAAGACAATGAGTGCCGTGGACAATCTCGGAAAAGAAAAGTGCACCGCTAATACAAGGGAAGCTAATTACATGGGTTCTCACCCTCATCCTATAGGTTGTCATTGGAGAACCAGCACCAGAAAATGTGAGAGAGAGAGAGAGAGAGAGAGAGAGAGAGAGAGAGAGAGAGAGAGAGAGAGAGAGAACATGCTATGCAACGGAAGAACAAACTGTTTTCCAACTGAAAGTACAAATAACTTCTAATTTAGAATTAAGTAAAGGCTTAAATCCTGCTACCCACAAATGTTATCCACGAGGAGAAGGTTTCCAACACCAAATGTTTGGTACAATGTGGCGTCGCACAGGCATGACATGAAAACTTGACGACCTGACAACAATTAGCATAGACCAACCTAGCAGAACTACGATGGAGGGGAGAGAGCTAATGGACACCACACCGGCTATATCAAGTACGCACTCTCTTGTTGCTGCAAGAGGGACACTTGTACTGCTTGATGTGCTCAGCCCTCGCAGGAGTAATTTTCACGCATTTCCCATGGAACCACTTCTCGCACATGTCGCAACAGATCCAGAACTCGTCTGAAGCATAGTTCTCCCCACAGGCCCCACACAAAGTATCCCCATGCTCTTCTTCATCTTCTCCGTCCACCACCTCATCTTCATCCTTTGCTTGGATAGTCCTTGTAAATTTGCCTGAATCTGATCCTCGCTGTTTCGTTCCAATGAAGGTTGGTGAGAGTCAGGTAAAAAGATTACATCCACAAATGAAATGATACCGAATCATGGAATACAGTTTCATACAAATTAACATCCCATATTTCTTTGGGTTCTAAGTCACTCGTAGTTGGGTTGGGAGTCAAACTTTTTCAAGCAGCTAGAAGCAGTTTCATAATCAAATAGCAAACCTATTTCAAGCAAATATTGCCCAAGACTCCAAGCAAGAGGGTAATACATACAACCAAACTAACACATCCCACGCACAAGCAAATCAATACACCATTGAAATTTCTCATGATTGTAACTCCCCCTCACTTAAGGTACACATTATGCAAGATTTTCAAACTAAACAAGAAATATCCCTAAAACTCGATGTGACACTACCATACCGACATCACAAAGGACAGATTAGAGAACATTTCAAGACCATTAGTATCAACTGAAAAAAATTTCCAACAGATTCACTAAGGATAAAACTAAGTATAAGAGGTGAATATGGAGAACTCAGTATTACTGACAAATGCAACTCACAACCCAGACAACTTTCCTTGAAAATTGAAGTACTTGAGAAACTAGACCTTCCAAGCTAAAATAGAGATATATGTTTGAAAAGAGGATATATTCACACCCCGTCAATGATGTATAGTATAATTTAATAGAATGATAGTACATTTCTGTCCTTAAACAAAGCGGGAACCGCATTCAGTATAAAACCAATACCGAACAACAGTCACAAATTGTTGCAGAGCAAGTTTGGAAAAAAATCTTAAAGAACCACTACAAGTTAGTGGATTTGAAAGATCTTTAAAAAAAAAGTGATAGGAGAAAGCAGGAGTCATTTACCCCTTTTGAGCCAGACTTGGACTTGCTGCTACTGTGATTCGAAACTGATGTCTTCTCCTTTGTCTGTTTCTTGACAGTTCCAGTTACGACTTCAAATATTGTTGGGAGATCATTAATCATGGCAAACAGGTTCTTCCTGCAACAAATAGTGTTTATGGATGGTAATCAAGCAGTATGATGCAACAAACCAAGTTCTTTTGCGCAAGAATAAGAATTAAAAGAAGGTCAAAATTGAAAGAGTGGTACTATAACAGGTCTGGCGAGAAAGACATGCCTGTCAACCTTGTCAAAACCAAATCTAGCACCAAAATAAAAGGACACAGCCAGTAACCATGCATCACTGTGCACAGCAACCAGAGATAACCAGTCCTTTTCCTGCATTCCATCCCTTGCAAAGTTAATGCCAAGTGCAGGCTCAGGTAGCTCTGGTGGCACTTCTTCAGCAGGCAAATTAACTTCCCACTGTTCATTAGGGAATCCATACAGGCACAGATTCTCCTTCTCTGAAAGCAAAGACGTTGAATATAGGACTGCTTAGAAGATGCGGCAACTAGCAAAGCATTTTCTCTAATATGAAGATCAACATATAAAAGAACATTTTATATCAGAAATCTTGAATTTGATAACAATATATAGATCATGGTGGATTCACCAGACTTAATACCACCACATATCCAACATTGAGCAATATTACCATGTGGAAAAATACAGTCAATGCTTCCAAGATGGCTAACTAAGAGAACAGACATGCATTTGCCAAACGACTGCTCCAAGCACCGCTCCACAGTATTCTTCTGATAAGAATGCTCAAAAGCCTATGAGGCCAATGAAACATCGTGGCAACATTATGCCACTGAGAATGATAGCAACTCATTTAATGACTTTCAAGAAAAATTTGCAATTAGTTTGATAAGGTTCCCCCTAATGTCTTTTTTTTTTTTGGATGACCCAGGAACCCCCCGCACAGCCGACAGCCGGAGGGGTAAACCTGGGGTGACGCTAGCGCAGGACCCACCACCACGGCGCCACACTTAAGAATCCCTAACGACTACGCTGGGGTTCGAACTCTGATCCCTTCGTGGGGGGATGAGAGCGCAAGCCAACGCAGCCGCTGCGGGCGGTGATATCCCCCCCCTCCTAATGTCTTCAGTTTACTTTACTCCAAAAAATCTTCAGTTTACTCAAGTGCAAAAGCATATGAAACTCTATGGAGACATGGGAAGCTTGAAAGCAAAAGCGCAAACGAGATATATAGAAATCAGGGGGAAGCTTGATAGCAAAAGCTTAAACAGGTACTTACACAACAAATAAGAAATTCAAGGAGGAAAAAATCAACAACCTTGAGTCTCATACAGATAAACCTGTTGGAAAGACCAAAATTCATTTTCAAAACCAATGCCTTGGCTACCAAAGGATAGCATGACACATTAAACACATCCTGCATTACCCTTGGACTACACTACATCAGAAGCCCAAGACACTTTGAACAATTATACCAATTGGACAATTTTGTTGGACCAAATCACCTTATTTCGCTTTCAAATCAATAATTACCAACAAAATTATAAAACTAATACATGACAACTATAGCCGATAGTCGTGAGTCGAGACTATTTTTCTTCACGATATAAAATGTTAGAACTCAATGAGAAATGTCAATTAATAGAACCTATCTCAAGCAACGAAGAAGGAGACCCCAAAAGCCAACAATTAAATGGGGCTGGCTGATCCAGGGGTCCAAAGTACAACACCAAAAATACCAGTCAGCGAGAGAAATACATTGAGATTCCTTTTTCTAGAGGAGAATCAAATGCCTTTTGCGTGGGAAACTTAAAAGCTTTCTTTTCCCTTCCAGAGTTTGCAAATTTAAAAAACTGGCAGTGGCAGGTGGTTCCAAACAAAAGATTAGAACAATAAGGTGACATAACCTCTCATACTGCTCGAGAAGCTAGCTAAATGTTTGGAAAGGGAAAATATCGTAGAAACTGTGTGATTGTGAAATTTTCTTCGCTACGTGAAAAATAAAGTCCATTGTCGAGGATCAACATTCCTGAAAAATAGCAAAAAAGGTATGAACAAGTATGCGGCATTGGCAAGCCCCCAGAACTTCCCTGTAAAATTAATTCCTCACACAAACTGGGCACAGGTACTGAGCAGGGTATACCATCATATTTTATAAGCCGCTTCAGTAAATTAGTACCCAATTGGAGGAAACTCTTTGCATGAAGCATGAAATAGACAAAAGAGGTCCCAAACCCAAGAACTTTGCTCTTATACAAAGCATGACGCAGTAAAACTGAGAGGGCTTTTCTAGAATAAACAGAAAGAGTATTGAGAGGGAACTAAGGAGGTGGCAACAGTTACGAAAGATGAATGCTCTAGAGTAGTCTAGTAGATTTAAAGACAAACTATTCTAAGCAAATCGGGCTTTCTGCCACCCAAATTTGAGACATTCAGCAATGTCCATCTAAGAGAATTACTGGTCACATCCGCCAAGCAAAGAGAAAACCGAACAACAAAGCGAGGGAGAGAATTCAACTGTGTGAAAAGAGCCAATTCACTTAGAAGTCAGTCGACAGGCTGCGAATTTAAGCTCCTACAGAACAAAAATGCCTACAGAACAAAAATGGCTAACCTGCAGTTTGCACTAGAAGCTCAACTTGCACATCCCATACCAAATGTCTACTCTCAAAACCAAGAAATGGTGAAATAAAGAATTTAAAGAAGCCCGATCACTCGACACTTCTTTACTGTCATAACCACAATGCAACCGTCCCAAAAGGGAAAAAAAATTGCATCATTAAGCACAAGAACCAAACTTGTAAAACATTTCCATTACAAAGAACTCGTGCGACAGTGAAATTTACTACCACAGCAAAATGTCTGACATCAAGCAATGCAATACCAAATTCTCCACTTATTTTTCCCCGATAAAGTTCTAACTATAATACAGAGTAAGCGGATCAGAACCCTAACCCGGATCGCACTGCTGATAGAATTCCTCGACATCTGCAACAAGAAACCCAACAACAACAACAAGAAAACGTCAGCACCCGCAAATCTTGAATACCCAGAAAGCAAAACCACCAGACAGACCGAACCCAAGTCTCAATTCAACCAATGTGAAATCACAAGAGAATATACCAACAAATACTCAACCAGAGAGAGAGAGAGAGAGAGAGAGAGAGAGGGAGGGAGGCAGACCAGTGGTTAGAGCTTTGATCATGCCGGCTCGACGACCCTTGAAATCCCTAAAGACCTCCTCCACAGTCCGAGGGTTGTACTGCCCTCCCCCGTCCATAATCTCCCACGCCGCGGGCAAGAAGCTCTTCCTCCTCACGGAAGCACGAACGGGGAGAGCGCTCTCTCTTTCAAGAAACGGGCCGCGACCCGGAAACAGGGGATTCGGAATTTTCGAGACCCAAAACCCAAGATTCGTGGCGTCAGAGTACGGAAACGGAGGAACGGAGGCGGAGCGAACCGGGGATCGACATTCTCGGGCTGTTACGGAAGGAACAGAGGGATTTCAGAGAGCGCGAGAGAGATTGCGAGGGGGATTGTGCGTTTTGAAGAGGAGGAGGGAAGCGAGGGAGTGAAATTTTTCTTGCTTGACCTGGCAGATTAGAATCAGTGTCAAAGGTCGAGCTGTGCTTAAAAAATATATATACCGATTAATGAAAATAATTATTATTAATTTAACTTTATTACTAAATTTTTTTGTTTTTGTTTTTGTTTTTGTTGCGCAATTTTAAAAAAAATATATATCATGAGAGAAGGATTTGGGTGTGGGGCGGTCCAGCAAGTGTTCAGCTGGTGCTTTCCATATGACGTGGCACTTGGGTCGGGGTTGGGTCTGGAGCAGCTGACGTGGCGTGGGACTTTGATGGGTTTGAATTTTGTGTTCTTTTAATCGAGATGGGATGAATCTAGCCAAAAAGAAGTAAAATCAAGATTGAAATCAAACGGGTCTAGAGGATGAACGCGTGACCTACGCGCCTATGCGAATATTCAAGCAAGCATGCACAACCAATAGTAGAATATATTGAAACAAGTCTTCTTTTGACTATGATGGTGTATATATAATGTGTTTAATTGATGATTTTTATGTATTGACGACATATGTTACTTAAATGATTAAATCGATCAAGGTCAAAATTCATGATATTTTACTTTGGTGATATGCAAGAGTCTCACGTCCGATGCGAGAGCTCGTGTTGGTGGTTTAGAGAAGAGATCTACTCCAAAGTGGGTTGGCACCTTGTGTCTACACATGAGCTCTCTTTAGAAGTGGTTTGACCCATGTGGAGTGGATTGAGTGATTAGATATGGTGCCAGAGCAAAACGCATTGTTTCAATAAAATGAGTGACTTGCGGACAAATCAGGCCCGTGTCTAATCTCATAAGCAAGAGGTAGGGGAGGGGAACATCAAGGTGACTCTTAACTAATATGGGTCACGACGATATTTCTTCACACCTTGTTAGATACCATTGTAATTATCCGGATCATTTCACATTAACACAAGGTAATGACATGGCAATGTCTCACATATCCCAATGGGAGATTTGGGATCTCCCTTGGGTTCAATCTCGCATGTCAAATCGCAAGTTCAAAAATCTCTTTCATTTTCGATCCATCCCCAATCGAAACCAAACTAAAGTTTACGCTATTGCCAGCTTATGCAATCACAAGATTGCTGCTCTTGACTCCCCAAGTTCAATTTTGGATGATTGATATGTACGTTCTTTGAAGTATGGGCAGGCCGTTAGGCCTAGTCCTCCTTGAAGTTGGATTATCTTTTCATAATTTCTTGAAATTTGAATAAAGTTTTGAAATTTTGTCGAAAATCAAACGAAGTTGCTTTTTTTTTTTATTTAGTAAAAAGAAGGCACCCTTAAAAGAAATGGGAAATTTCCTTGAGGATTTCTTTTGCAATTAACCATCCTTTTTTTATTTCTAAAAGTATTAGGTTATCACACTCTGCATTTTTTTGAGATATTTACCGTAAAAATCCTAAACCTATTATACAGATGCTAATTCAATTTTAAAATTTTCAATTTGGCCAATGTAGTCCTAAATCTTTTAATGGTTTGCCAATATAGTTCTTTTGGCCAATTTTGATAGAAAATCGCTGATGTTAACGCCGGTCATTTTATATGGTATAACTAGCGTTGACGTGGACAAATTTTGAAATTTAAAAAAAAAATTAAAATTTTTTTTAAATTTTTTTATTTTTCTTTCTTTCATGTTCTTTTCTTTCTACTAAGTCCAGCAAGCAAAAGAAAGAAAGAAAAAGAAATAAAATAAAATAAAATATATAAATACTTGATAAAATCTAAAAAGTATATAAAATTTATTCACGTCAGTGCTGGTCGTGCTACGTAAGACGACCGGCATCCACATTAGCAATTGCTGGCGAAAATTGGTCGAATTGCATTTGGTAAATCGTCAAAATATTTAAAACTAAATTACTCAAATTAAAAAGTTTGGGGAATGAATTGCTCGACTCCTCGACACCCAGGCCCTAGTCCGCAAAGCTCAACTGCAAAACCCCAGTGCTTGGGCCTAGGCTCGGGTCCATAGAGGTGGGCCCGGGGACCCTAATGATCCGGCTTCCTAGTTCTCGAGCTCAAGTCACCGACATTCGAGCTCTGGTCCATTGAGGCTGGGCCCAAGACACAAGTGTACTGGCCCCAATCCCCAATGACTAGCCCCGGGTCTACAGAGTTTGGGCCTGAGTCCATTGAGGCTGGGACCCTAGTGCCCATGCTCAAGTCCCTAGTACCCATTCCCGGATCCCCAACACTCAATCCTGGGTCCATCAAGGTCGAGCCCGAGACCTCAGTGCCCATGCTCAGGTCCCCGACGCTCATGCTCGAGTCCCAAGAGCCTGTGCACAAGAAAATAGACCCGAGTCTATCGAGGCCGAGGCCTAGACCCTGATGCTCGTGTCCTGGTCCTTTGAGGCTGGGCTCGGGCCCCAGTGCTCATTTTCAGGTACTCATGCCTAGGCTTAAGCCCACAAAAGTTAAGTTCAAAACCCGAATGCCCGTGTCAGAAAATCTAACGTAACATAAAAATGCAAATGATGTTTTTAGGTGTCTTCATTACAACACCATTCATGAATTACATAACCTCAAAGATTGTCCCTCAGAATTAACAATTGAAATTGTTGTTTCATACTTTCTTTTGATAGACCACATTAGAATTGTTTGCCAAAATATGAGCTGGTTTGTTTCTCCAAAAATGGAGGTCATGATCATGAGGCCTGTGTTTTTGAAGACCGGAGCGCATCCTTTTTCCTAGCTTCTGCCAGTTTCCGATTGAAAACCACTAGAAGTGTCTGCTCAGTAAGATGAAAAAATAAGAATCTGTATACCCAGAAGGCAATTCATGCGTAACTAATGAAACTAGGTACATACCTAGAGGGCTGGGAGGTGGTGAATATGGTGAACCTAAGTACATACCTCAAGGGCCGAGAGGTGGCTGATATGGTGAAACTAAGTACATACCTGGAGGTGGTGGATATGAAGGCAGAGCATAAGCCATGGGAGGGTACGGTAGAGGAGGAAAGGCGGATGGAGGACAGGGAAAATGTGGTTGAGGTGGGTATGCCACTGGATTATATGGTAGATACGATGGGTATGCAAGATTTGTCACACGGTATCCTATAAAATGTGCATAGTAAAAAGGAACTGATCCATGAGGAGGTGCACTGTACGAAGGGACCTGAGTAGCCGAAGGAGCTACATATGGTGGTGCAGACGGCGTATAGCTCGCTCCCGATTTCTCAAAGGAGAAACCTTTGAGATGCGCATACCGAGCGAGAATTTCAACCATTTGCTTTTCGGCATTTTCTTCTTCATATTCCATGCGGGGATTTTATCAAGGTCGAGCCCGAGACCTCAGTGCCCATGCTCAGGTCCCCGACGCTCATGCTCGAGACCCAAGTGCCTGTGCACAAGAAAATAGACCCGGGTCTATTGAGGCCGAGGCCCAGACCCTGATGCTCATGCCCTGGTCCTTCGAGACTGGGCTCGGACCCCAGTGCTCACTTTCAGGTACTCGGTTCCTAGGCTTGAGCCCACAAAAGCTGAGCTCAAAACCCGAATGCACGTGTCCGAAAAGCTAACGTAACATAAAAATGCAAATGATGTTTTTAGGCAGCATCATTACAACACCATTCATGAATTACATAACCTCAAAGATTGTCCCTAAAAATTTACAATTGAACTTATTGTTTCATACTTTCTTTTGATAGACCACATTCGAATTGTTTGACAAAACATGAGCTGGTTTGTTTCTCCAAAAATGGAGGTCATGATCATGAGGCCTGTGTTTTTTAAGACGGGAGAGCATCCTTTTTCCTAGCTTCTGCCAGTTCCTGATTGCAAACCACTAGAAGTGCCTGCTCAGTAAGATGAAAAAATAAGAATCTGTATACCCAGAAGGCAATTCGTGCGTAACTAATGAAACTAGGAACATACCTAGAGGGCTGGGAGGTGGTGAATATGGTGAACCTAAGCACATACCTGAAGGGCCGAGAGGTGGCTGATATGGTGAAACTAAGTACATACCTGGAGGTGGTGGATATGAAGGCAGAGGATAAGCCATGGGAGGGTACGGTAGAGGAGGAAAGGCGGATGGAGGACAGGGAAAATGTGGTTAAGGTGGGTATGCCACTGGATTATATGGTAGATACGATGGGCATGCAAGATTTGTCACACGGTATCCTATAGAATGTGCATAGTAAGAAAGACCTGATCCACGAGGAGTTGCACTGTACGAAGGGACCTGAGTAGCCGAAGGAGCTACATATGGTGGTGCAGATGGTGCATAGCTCGCTCCTGGTTTTTCAATGGAGAAACCTTTGAGATGCGCATACTGAGCGAGAATTTCAACCATTTGCTTTTCGGCATTTTCATCTTCGTATTCCATGCGAGGATTTTATCAAGGTCGAGCACGAGACCTCAGTGCCCATGCTCATGTCCCCGACGCTCATGCTCGAGACCCAAGTGCCTGTGCACAAGAAAATAGACCCAAGTCTATTGAGGCCGAGGCCCAGACACAGATGCTCGTGCCTTGGTCCTTCGAGGCTGGACTCGGGCCCCAGTGCTCATTTTCAGGTACTCGGTGCCTAGGCTTGAGCCCACAAAAGCTGAGCTCAAAACCCGAATGCCCGTGTCCGAAAAGCTAACGTAACATAAAAATGCAAATGATGTTTTTAGGCAGCTTCATTACAACACCATTCACGAATTACATAACCTCAAAGATTGTCCCTCAGAATTCACAATTGAACTTATTGTTTCATACTTTCGTTTGATAGACCACATTCGAATTGTTTGCCAAAATATTTGCTGGTTTGTTTCTCCAAAAATGGAGGTCATGATCGTGAGTCCTGTGTTTTTGAAGACCGGAGTGCATCCTTTTTGCTAGTTTCTATCAGTTTCCGATTGCAAATCACTAGAAGTGCCTGCTCAGTAAGATGAAAAAAATAAGAATATGTAGACTCAGAAGGCAATTCATGCGTAACTAATGAAACTAGGTACATACCTAGAGGGCTGGGAGGTGGTGAATATGGTGAACCAAAGCACATACCTGAAGGGCCGAGAGGTGGCTGATATGGTGAAACC